TCTCGATTACTTTGTACACGTTCATTGTTCCCAGTTGTTGTCACGAATCTGTTTTTTGTCACGTTGACCCGAGCCTCGCCTCGCCTCGCCTCGCCTCGCGCCGGCTACGGCCGAGTATGCTAGCACTCGCGCGCTATCACGCACGCATACTCGGCCGAGCGGTGCCGAGGGAACGCGCGGGCGCAAACACGAGACACACATACACACACCAAACAGGACGAACGAAGAATGCATCTTTATTTATTGCACTAACAGATTGAACACGTCAGTATCGATCACGCGTGAACCGTCTACCCCTTCGTTGCTCGTTCCACGCGAAACCGCCCCTTCCCCCGACGTCGCCAAACGCACCCACGGCGTCCCCTCGCTCTAAGACCCGGCCGCACCCCGCGTCGCACTTCGTGTCGCACCACCTCAAGACGCATCTCACGCACGCTCACGCCACGAATTTACAGCGCACTCGGCGAGCGAATAATGTAGGCCCGAGGAGGGAAGGTAAAAAAATTCTCGGTCGTAGGACGTCGCTCGCCTGTCACCCGCCATCAAGGTATCACACACGCTCGCTGCGAGGTTCGCTCCGCCGCCAAGGTTCGCTCTGTGTCGCGAATAACAATCTAATTAGCTCGAGGCGACGGGACACCTCGCTGTTCGACTTCTCTCACATGCTTCTTTCATTTGTCTTCTTCGCGTTCTGGCTTGCACATCACCGCTTGCGGCTCGATCATTCCCGCCGGTCATTGTCTCGTGTCCATCTCATTCTCGGCGCTTTTCTCGGCGGCCCCATTGTCACAGCTTCCGCCAGGAATCAGTAGATTTAGAGAATTGTTTAACGATGCTTCGAGGGAGGATTTATTTCAGCGAAACTGCGAGTGGCGCGAAGCAAGGCGAAGCTGACTGTTCGATCGCGTCGAATGCCACGCGATTGATACGATCTATAATATCTGTGCGTGTCTATATATATCTGTGGATCTCTTGTTACGTGTAACTTATCATTAGACCGCGGAATTTATGCATTTATGACAGAATGGATCAAATACGGAACGGTGGAGACAGTGAAAGAATTTCGGAACGTTATTGTATTACTTGTTACGATTAATTGTTCGGGGAAACGGAATATATGCTTGTTTAGTTGCTGCAGCCGGCAATTAATGGAGACAATTTCTTGCACAAAGACGACGCGCGCGCGGTCTGTTTATCATTATGTAAGCAGGTGCGACGGATTTATCTCGGCGAGCGTCTTCGCGCCATTTCGACGGTGACCCCCATGGCATTCGACGCGTTGACACCGAACTCTGAAACGGTGCACGGGCTTCGTAAGCGTCGCGAGCACGTCTCTTTTGCCACGTTTATTCGACGGACCTCGCAGACGTTTTACCGGCTTCTTCGGCGTCATTGACCCGTTTCGACGTCACACGCAGTTCGGAACCCGAGGCGAACCGGGTCACAAAGGGTTAAGGTTCGCCGGGCAATAATCGAAACCGACGGATGCAGCAAAGCAGATTATTTTATTTTTTATTTTTTTTTAGACGGTCGGTTGCACAAATGTGGAAGAGCGGAGCGCCGGTTAATCGGCGAGGGAAGTGCGCAGAGATTATTTTGGTTGAGCGAGCGATGCGGAACGGAAACGATCGGTCAAAGTTTTGTTTCAGAGAGGGACAATTTACATGCGGCAACGTAACAGCATAATTACCGATTGCGAGCGGGCCGGTGCACACACGTTCGTGTCGGGGCGTTTCACAGGGCGAAACGGGGACGCGTGTGCTCGCCCTTCGCGAACGACAGAGCACTTTTCGAGGACGCGAGCGAGCGAGCGAGCTTGCGAGCGTACCTCGGAGAAGGAAGGCGAGCGATTCCGCTTTCACAATCGTCGCGAAACACGAACGTCGAACGGGTCCGGGGAGACCGGCCGCCGCGGCACAGGGAAAATATTACAGACGGAACTAATGCGACCGCATTGTGCATCATACGGGAAGCCCCGAGGCGCGCGCGGTGAAAGCTTTAAATATAGCTCGTTTGTTACTTTAAATATCTGCTGCAGCGCGGATAGTCAGCCGAGCTATATCGGTCTGTGGTCCACTTGACTGGAAACGCGGATGTTATTCCGATACGTTTCATCGTTGAAAAGATCAATTAAACTACGCGGCCGTCAAAAACGAACCGCGCGACCGCGCCGCATTCTTTTTCTTTTTCTTTTTTGTCTCTCTCTCTCTGTCTCTTTTTCGCTCTCCGCGTCGTCCTTTCGTTTTTCAGCCTCTTCGCTTTTTGCTTCCTTTCGTCGGGCCAGGAATCGCCCGTGAATTTTCTTTTCGTCACTTTTTTTCGATGTCGCGCGATCTACGCGAGCCCGAAAGGCAAAATCGTTCGAGGAGGAAAAATCCACGAGGGAAATATAGGCTCGGCGTCGCCGGTAGTTTTACGACCGCGACGATCGCGCAGTATTTTTTACCGCGGATATTCACCATTCGCGAGCTTGTTGCACCGCGGGAGATGTTCGGCTCTTTTATGCTTTTCCGTTATTCCATCAGTCGATGATTTGCGGCGAAATTCTGATCGGAGATTTTTGGCTGACGCTTTGAGATCTTGTTTCTGGGTCGTTTTTAGTGATAGATTAGATTTCATGAAGTGTTACTGGGACAGTTTTACGCCGAACCTGCATTTTAATTGTCGGATGTGGAATTTACAGGCAATTCTTCGTTTCTGCAATGATTCTGCTCGGTCGAAAATAGCGCGATAGTGTTTCGAAATTCTTGAACATGTTCAGAACTTCGAAAATATTTTCACCGATTTATATTTGATCTGTCTATTTGTTTAGAGCATCATTTTTATTAGAATGTACTCTTGTATCAACGAATTTTCAATCGTTATCCGATCGTTCTTCAAAAGAGTTTTACAAAGTCTAAGGAAATTATGATTATAATTTATGATTTCTGTATATAATTTCTTTACAATTTATAATTTTATAATAAAACCGTCTTCGAGACAAAAAGCACGCAGCCGATCATTTTAATGACAGGTTCAGTGCTAAAGGTTTTCTGTGTAAAAGCGCCGCAAATCGAGCATAAAAAGTGACGAAGAATTTAGCAATGACCGCGACAGAGACGGTCGTCGAAGCGTCAAGGGGTTAAGGAGACGGCATTAATCACCTTTGGAAAGCAGTTTCGACGAGACAAGTGGAAAAACCGCGACCGAATAGCTGCGACGCGGAATGCTTCGGGATCAACACGCGGAGCATTCCGCGGCGATGAAGCGTGGGCTCGATAAAGCTCGCGCCATTCGATTAAAAACGTGTTCGAAATTCCCTCGATTGCGTTTGATTGCATCAAAGGCGAGCAGAGATCGCGCTCGTTGCACCGGGAATTAGAGTTCGCAAGCTTTCGGCGCGATAAACGAAAGAAGATTCTGATCGGGATCGAAAGGAAGACGGACGGTAGACTCACCCTTGCTGGACCGACATCGGCACCCACGTGATGAACAATCACATGGCGCTGCGGCTCGATACAGGACGCGGCACACTCGACCGGAAATCCACGGGACACTGGCCGCGCGTCGCATTCATGGGAATCGCAATTAACGGGAACAGGACGTGCTCGCGTTAATGAATGAAACGCGGGCGCGATCGTCGCGGGTCCGTTCGTCGCGGAACGAAAACGGCAGCTCTCGTGGCCCGGGTTTTGCCGCGACACGATTCATGCTGCCGGCAGTTGCGTCATCCGCTAAACTGTTTCGCTCTTGTGTTACTAAATCGTGTACATATCGCGGCGATGACACAACCCGAAAACCGGCCTCTAAAAGCGTCGCCGTTAAAACGGTCAATTGGAACGGCGGCGGAATATGCCTTCGGTTCCTGCTGCTGCGGAACCGCAAATATATTTTTTCGAAATTCCCGGCGGCGAGAATGGTTTCGACGTTGTGTCGCCGGCGAATGGATAGTCCAATTTCATCATGCGAAATTGAAGTTTGAGCATCGGCTAGTAACCCAAATGAACCCTCGACTGGTCTGGCGCGGCGCTGCGCGATTGCCTCTGCAGGAATTTAATTGCTTCACTTTTTTTTGTTCACTGAAAACATAGTCAAGATCGTGTATCGAACATCGAGAAGACGGATGACTTTGATAATTACACCGACGACGATGTGTAACTCAAACCGTTCTTCAACTTCCTTCACCCCTCGAACTGTAACGAGGTGTCGGATGAAGTTACGAATGCTGTTTATTTCTTCGAAATTGAAACAAGATTCGATTAAACTGTTATCGGAGTCTAGAAATGGAAGCACATGGATGGAAAGGAGCGAAAATTGTCTCGTTCCATTAGGGAACTTATTAAGGACGAAGTTAACCCTTTGCTCTCGAAGCTACTCCATAATCAAGATATTTCTTCTGATCTATAAAATTTCAATTTTATACGATTTATTGCACTTCGTGCACGTGATATTGAGCTTATTAGCCTTATCGAGCTTACGAGCTTATCACCTTGCATTTCTAACGATATTTTAGATATAATTGAACTTATATCAGGGTTTCCTTACAGATCGCAAGTGTACTTTAAATGTAACAGAATTTAGTTCGCTTTCAATGATGCCGGACAGTCGGCATTCGACTGCGAAGGGTTAATAGAAGACTAAATCATTCGACTGGATCACTTGACTAGATCATTTAACTAGATCATCGATTGCGAAACGAATGACTCCTGGATGTGTTACGACCTAAAGAGAGCGCACAGCGAGCCGATCAGTCGAGGCGATCATCCTCTACGATAAAGACGCAAGCTTCAACCGGGCTAACGCGAGTAACCAAGAGAGTTTCGCCGCGGCTATGCCGCAGATCGATCGCTTCCTACTAGAACGCTGCAAAGAAGCATCCTTAAACGATCGTTAATCACCGAGTACGAGTTCCCCTGTCCCCTCCTGTGCTCTCTGATCTGATCTCCTCGTAACCCACGGATGGCTTGCCGATTAACAAAGGGACATCTGAACGAGCCAACCTTCTGTCCGCACTGTTCCAGGTTCCTGAACAAGAGCAGGAGCCAGGCAGCGATGATGGCGCGGGAACGGGAGCGGGAACGGGAACGGGAACGCGAGCGGGAACGGGAGCGGGAACGGGAACGGGAACGGGACCGGGACCGGGAACGGGAAAGGGAACGAGAACGCGAAAGAGAAAGAGAACGCGAGAGAGAACGAGAACGCGAACGAGACGCGGACACCGAGGTCGAGTCGCCTCTGTCGGCGAGGTCGCGGTACGCCGCGTTGAAGGAAAGAAGGCAACGGCTGGCGAGGTCACGAAGCTCGCACAACTTCGGCGGCGATGACCTCGACCTCGACGAGGAGCCACCCTCTCCGACGACCCAGTCGCCGAACGCCTATCTGGCGGCCAAGTACGGAGCCGGCTCTGAACTGGCCAGGAGCCGGAGCACCCATGCCCTCAAGTCCAGAGAGCCGAGCCCGGAACGCGACCGGCCCGGCACCGAGAAGGACGGAGCAGCCCTCAGCTCGTGGGCCAGGTACCTCAAGAATAAGTACGGCAATCGCACCATCAAGGACAAGGAGCCTTCGTCTTCTACCTCGGCGATACCATCATCCAGGTAACCGCAGCCTCCGTTTCGTTCAATACGTTCTCGAGCGAATCAAATCGTTTCTCTCGCATTGACTATAGGTTTGGGAACGAAAACGGCCAACTTGGGAAGAGGTGAGACGATTATTCGAGTCTGTTAGATTGTGTGAGGACTCTTCGCGGCCCTCTGACACCTAGGAAAACTGCATATATTCAAAGCGATAGTTCCGATGAAGTTTGAGATTTGTTCTCGTGATGCTATTTCTATGAAATTTAGCTTAAATGAAAGCTGGAAGTGTCTACTTTGAGATAGAGTAGATTATATTTCAATAGAATGACGAGGTCATTTTGGACAATTCAAAGAAGTCGACCTTTGACATCATAGGGTTTACAAGACTTAAGAGGAAAAGTTCAGATAGATTTTCAAACACGTTCCCGTAGAGCTATTTTTATGCAACTTAGCTTAAATGAAAGCTGGAAGTGTCTACTTTGAGATAGAGTATAGTCTTCGACCCTATAGGACTGACTCAAAGACGAATCTTCTTGCAGTACCAGCGCAGCCTCGAGAAGGTTGTCTCTCGGGCTGCCTCTGAGGCACGCTGGCCAAACATCCTTCGAATCCTCCGATGACGACCAAAAAAACCCGTCAGGCTCCCCCACGTCCCCTACAGCAGCTCCCGTTATACCCGCGGCAGCAGGTTCCTCCACTAGGTGAGTACATAATTCGCGCATAGTAAACTCGTCGAGAACACTGTAGGACTCGCGTTGAATGTTTCTCACAGCAATGGCCGGAGGAGTCACTACCTGCTGAAGCGGCGGCAGCTGTTCAAATTCGGGATGCGGGGGAGCGAAGCCGGATGCTTTACCTGGCCGAGAGGCCTCGCAGTTGGCCCGGACAACTCCATCGTGGTGGCCGACAGCTCCAACCATCGTGTTCAAGTAATCGCTTTTATACCAAACAGACGTTCGAATTCTAGCAGACCGGTAGCAAATGAACTTCAATAAATCCCGAACTAACTAGAACCATTTCGGGCGGAGAGTTTAAATGGATTTTCCCGATGCGGTTGAAGTTTTAGTAATTCACGGAGCTTCGTAATTGCTAGCGCCGAGAACACAGATTGCTATCGATGTGCTAAAAAGGCTGAAGAGCCGTGGGATGTTACCGGTGTAACCGTGGCAATTACAGGTATTTGACTGCAATGGGAACTTCATGAAGGAGTTCGGAACTTACGGAAGCGGCGAGGGCGAATTCGACTGCCTCGCCGGTGTGGCCGTGAACAGGATCGGGCAGTACATCATCGCGGATCGTTACAATCACAGAATACAGGTGCTCGATCCCTCCGGCCGATTTCTGAGGGCCTTTGGCTCGCAAGGAACCGCGGACGGCCGGTTCAACTATCCTTGGGGCATCACCACTGACGCTCTTGGATTCATCTATGTCTGCGATAAAGAGAACCATCGCGTACAGGTACACGAAACTGTGCATCGCCTTCTCGGCAAATCTACTAGAACCTAGAAAAAGATCCTATTTATTTCTACTTTTTCATTCCTCCAATGACGGAGCTTTCAAGTTATTTCTTAAATCCTTTACCCCTGCGATGGTACCCTGGGATATTCAGCTTCGGTAGCATCTCTAGCTCGGATTTTTCACAAATACGTAGTTTCCTTTAACTTCTTTCGAACGTACGAACTTTCAAAAAGTCTCCAAATCGATGCTTAGCAACCTAAAGAAACAGCGTGCTATTTAAGGGCTGAGGCTAGAGTCAGGGCTGGCAAGGGTTCNTACGGAGCCGGCTCTGAACTGGCCAGGAGCCGGAGCACCCATGCCCTCAAGTCCAGAGAGCCGAGCCCGGAACGCGACCGGCCCGGCACCGAGAAGGACGGAGCAGCCCTCAGCTCGTGGGCCAGGTACCTCAAGAATAAGTACGGCAATCGCACCATCAAGGACAAGGAGCCTTCGTCTTCTACCTCGGCGATACCATCATCCAGGTAACCGCAGCCTCCGTTTCGTTCAATACGTTCTCGAGCGAATCAAATCGTTTCTCTCGCATTGACTATAGGTTTGGGAACGAAAACGGCCAACTTGGGAAGAGGTGAGACGATTATTCGAGTCTGTTAGATTGTGTGAGGACTCTTCGCGGCCCTCTGACACCTAGGAAAACTGCATATATTCAAAGCGATAGTTCCGATGAAGTTTGAGATTTGTTCTCGTGATGCTATTTCTATGAAATTTAGCTTAAATGAAAGCTGGAAGTGTCTACTTTGAGATAGAGTAGATTATATTTCAATAGAATGACGAGGTCATTTTGGACAATTCAAAGAAGTCGACCTTTGACATCATAGGGTTTACAAGACTTAAGAGGAAAAGTTCAGATAGATTTTCAAACACGTTCCCGTAGAGCTATTTTTATGCAACTTAGCTTAAATGAAAGCTGGAAGTGTCTACTTTGAGATAGAGTATAGTCTTCGACCCTATAGGACTGACTCAAAGACGAATCTTCTTGCAGTACCAGCGCAGCCTCGAGAAGGTTGTCTCTCGGGCTGCCTCTGAGGCACGCTGGCCAAACATCCTTCGAATCCTCCGATGACGACCAAAAAAACCCGTCAGGCTCCCCCACGTCCCCTACAGCAGCTCCCGTTATACCCGCGGCAGCAGGTTCCTCCACTAGGTGAGTACATAATTCGCGCATAGTAAACTCGTCGAGAACACTGTAGGACTCGCGTTGAATGTTTCTCACAGCAATGGCCGGAGGAGTCACTACCTGCTGAAGCGGCGGCAGCTGTTCAAATTCGGGATGCGGGGGAGCGAAGCCGGATGCTTTACCTGGCCGAGAGGCCTCGCAGTTGGCCCGGACAACTCCATCGTGGTGGCCGACAGCTCCAACCATCGTGTTCAAGTAATCGCTTTTATACCAAACAGACGTTCGAATTCTAGCAGACCGGTAGCAAATGAACTTCAATAAATCCCGAACTAACTAGAACCATTTCGGGCGGAGAGTTTAAATGGATTTTCCCGATGCGGTTGAAGTTTTAGTAATTCACGGAGCTTCGTAATTGCTAGCGCCGAGAACACAGATTGCTATCGATGTGCTAAAAAGGCTGAAGAGCCGTGGGATGTTACCGGTGTAACCGTGGCAATTACAGGTATTTGACTGCAATGGGAACTTCATGAAGGAGTTCGGAACTTACGGAAGCGGCGAGGGCGAATTCGACTGCCTCGCCGGTGTGGCCGTGAACAGGATCGGGCAGTACATCATCGCGGATCGTTACAATCACAGAATACAGGTGCTCGATCCCTCCGGCCGATTTCTGAGGGCCTTTGGCTCGCAAGGAACCGCGGACGGCCGGTTCAACTATCCTTGGGGCATCACCACTGACGCTCTTGGATTCATCTATGTCTGCGATAAAGAGAACCATCGCGTACAGGTACACGAAACTGTGCATCGCCTTCTCGGCAAATCTACTAGAACCTAGAAAAAGATCCTATTTATTTCTACTTTTTCATTCCTCCAATGACGGAGCTTTCAAGTTATTTCTTAAATCCTTTACCCCTGCGATGGTACCCTGGGATATTCAGCTTCGGTAGCATCTCTAGCTCGGATTTTTCACAAATACGTAGTTTCCTTTAACTTCTTTCGAACGTACGAACTTTCAAAAAGTCTCCAAATCGATGCTTAGCAACCTAAAGAAACAGCGTGCTATTTAAGGGCTGAGGCTAGAGTCAGGGCTGGCAAGGGTTCCTTTGATCATCAAAATGGCCTTTCCAAGGATTCGAATGATATCTAGGCAGCCCAAAGAAATAGAATACCACTTGGGGTTTACTCGGAACAAGGGTTAACAAAGTTACAGTGTACCAAGCGGAACGATCGTGCTAAAGATTAGGGGTTGTGTCGCAGGTCTTTCAATCGGACGGCACGTTCGTGGGTAAATTCGGTTCCTGCGGAAGCGGACGTGGCCAATTGGAACATCCCCACTACATCGCGGTGAGCAACACGAACCGCGTGATCGTGAGCGACGGTAACAACCACCGGGTGCAGATCTTCGACGTTAACGGCCGCGTGCTGACCTCCTTCGGATCCGAGGGCTCCGACGAGGGTCAGTTCAAGTTCCCAAGGGGCGTCGCTGTCGACGACCAGGGCTACATCGTCGTCGCCGACTCCGGCAACAACAGGATACAGATATTCAGCCCAGAGGGCGCGTTCCTCAAGTCCTTCGGCGGCTGGGGTAGCGGTGACGGCGAATTCAAGGGCCTAGAGGGTGTCGCTGTCACGTCGACCGGTAACATCGTCGTCTGCGACCGCGAGAACCACCGCGTCCAAGTGTTCTAATTTACTTTCTGTTTCTCTCCTCCTATTTCTCCCCTCTCTCTCTCTTTCTCTCCCTCACTCTCTCTCTCTTTCTCTCTCTCTCTCTCTCACTCTCTGCTCCCCTGTTGCCCTCACTTTCCCTCTCTTCATTCACTCTCTCCCTTTCAAATCCTCGACCAGGGACATCGAGCGTTTTCAAGGGGGGCTTTTTCGAAATATCGATACGCAACACTATGGGGGTTCTAACTTCTCGACACCGTGTCCGGTAGAACAAGCAACGCTATGGTCCGTACATTGATCAGAGGGATCTCCGAGCCGACGAACGTTGCGTGGCATAGAAAAATTTGTAAACGTATAGCACACAGTTCGACGATATGGGGTTCACGTTAAAGGGGGGTGAGATTTCTTCTTCGCGTTAACTTGCTTGCTTTCGTTAGGTCTTAACATAGTTGTTTGTGTTCAGCTAATACACTCGCGGGGAAGCCCTTTGGTACAGACCATCGAAGCTTTTCTTTCTTTCTTTCTTTCTTATTATTTCCGTTCTATGCGACTACTTCGTCCTCATTTCGGTGGGTGGGGTGAACGAAAAAAACAAACGGAAAGACTATTTCCGGTCCACGGACCCGCTAACGGGATTCCGCTCGATTGTCTATTCCACTTGCCTCGCGGCCCATCTAAATGCTAATACCCATCGAACAGAGTTATTCGACGCGAATCGATCATGAAAACTTCGGTACCGAACGAAAAAACAAAAGGATCCACACGGCTATCTTGTATTCCCCTGCCCGTCTTGCCCCCTCTCTGCTGTCTTCTTCTTCTTCTTCTTCTCACCTTTGTTCTGTTCGCCAGCCTTCTACGCACATGATATCCGCGTAATTTAATTTAATTTATACTCAAAGTGACAACAAAATACAGTTTGTACCGTTTGTATGCTTTAAATAAATTGTTGCGGAAGTATTAAAAAAACGAGACTTCGTGGTTTCTTTATCTGCGACGATATGATGATGATCGTCGGCGGATCAAGATTTCTTATGGAACGAGATGGAACGTCTTACCTGTTTTCGTCGATGGCCGTCGATGACGTCGAGGACGAACGGATGATAACCATCCACCTGGAAAATTCGGGACGGTTTTTTTTTAGGGTGGTATTTGAGGATCGCAGACGCCGGCGGAGCTAGAATAACGATGTAAGGGGGTAAGTCAAAAGGTAAGTGAGTCAATAAATATATAATTTATTAAATGCAATGATGAAATGGTGTAACAATAGGGGGGCGGGCGACCGTCGACCATGTTGGGGTCGGCGTGCAGGGCGGACAAGAGGTAATACGCTGCCCCGCCCGACACCCCCGGATCGGAAATATAGATAAAATATTTTCGTTATTATTTACAATATTAGTTGAACGTTAGTCAATAATAAATAATAAACAGTGGCGTAATCCTTTATTTAATATAATTTAATAATGTAATATATTACGTTTGCGATAATAAAAATATTACAAGAGATGGAGCCTTTACCATTATTCGTTTCCACTAGTAGTAGCACGAACCTGTATTTTCTTCCTCTTATTTATTTTAATCCATATTCTTTTTTTTTGTTCTTTTTAATTATATCTCATTATCGCCGGCATCGTTCGAAAATTCACGGCGAAAGCGTCAACGGGATCCCCCTCGGTGTCTCTCGATCGGATCCGGTCGCATATCGTTCCTCCAGAGAACGTTCTTTTATATTTTTTCTCATTGTTTTTTCCGTCGTCTAGCGATTTCGTTGGCGAGCATCTTCATTTTCGTTTTGTTTTTCTTTTCCATTATTTCGCAGTTTTTGGGAGTTCCGAAGGGAATCGCGAGCTGGTGAATTTTCGAACGGGATTACGTCGGCTGGGATGCGGATGTCGAAACAGCTGTCGAAACCATCAACCTTCCGGGATTTGTCGCTCGTCGCGAAATCGAATGGGATCCAACAAATGAATTAATATCGGCGTTACGATTCCTCGATAATTACACGTGTAGAAAAAACCGTTATCATTCTTTCCCTCCTTTCTTTCCTCCATTCTTTCCTCCTTTCCTTCTCTATCATTCTTTCTTACTTTTTCTCACTTTTTTTCTTTTTCATAACTTTTCACCTGGGCGCGCCGCGGCGACCGTCGCAACGACGTCGCCGTCGAACGCCGGATTCATCACAACGGAAGTACGCGACATGCTTGGACGTTGTTGTGGTTGTTGTTGTTATTGTTGTTGTTGTTTTCTTGTTGTTTGGTATTTGTTGTTGTTGGTAGGTGGTGGAGATGGTGTTTGTGTTTTCTTTTTCATTCTTTATTATACCGAGTAAAATTACGGAGCGTTGATTAAACACCTCTTGATTAGACTAGAAATATGTTTTATGTAACGCACGGGCCAGGCAGGCAGCAAGCAGGTACAAAGTGACCGTCTTAATCAAGGAACAGTAAGTAGAAGATGAGCTAGGCACCGATATCCGATCGTTTCGACCTTTTCGACATCGTGATACAAAGGTCCTACAGGATGTCTCGCTTTACATCAACACGACACGATCGAGAGAATTTGATTTCATTCGTTTCCGTCGTATTCGGCGAAGAGACGCGATACTTCCGGCCGAGGCTCGCCAATTTTCATGGATTCGCGTTGATTTAAAGAGTTTCCGCGTTTTTAATTCGACAGCGGGAAAGCTCGAGCGCTTTCGTTTCGAGGACGATCGATGTATGTTTTACCCCTTTCTTTTTCATCTCTTTTTTGTTTCTTTCTTTTTGAAGTGAGATTTCGATGCCAATCGCGCGGAGGCGGCCGTGCTGATTCATAACGAGACACCTTTACACGCGTACATATCTCGTGCGATTTTCATTTCTGGAGACTGGACAATTGGAAATATTCGAATCTATAGCGCGAATCAATCATTCCCAATTAGAAGAGAAGTTTCGTTTAATAGTCCACTATAAACCTACTGATTCGTCTCTGCATCTAGAAAGTTAGTTTGAAAAGTGGCATGACATTATTTAGTTTATTTTATTTTATTTTTATTTTTTATTTTCATTATATCTCATTCTGTATTCGAGTTTTTAATTAAGTAGTAATAAAGTTATAATTAATTATTTTGTTAATTAATTAAAGTGGCAGCAGTTAGGCCATGCGGCTCCTATCATCTAGTCGTCTTTGACTCTTGGCTTTCTTACGTAGATTTAAAAATTTGTTTACTTATTAAACTTTTTTTTATATTTTGAGAATAATTTGTATTATGTGACTTTTTAAAGTTTAATGTATTCCTCGAAGCGCCTACCCTAGCGATGTCTTTTTTTTTTACTCTTTATTTGGTAAGTAATTAAGTATTTTTTAGCATTTTCCTTTTTTCCCCGCTCTTCCATTCGTACGCTCGATAGATTTAAGTTGTTTTTAGTTTTTCTCTTATTCTTTGGTGTACGTGATAAGTAATGCGATTCTCTAGAGTAATAATAATTAATTGGGGACGGGGAGAGGGGGGTGGGTGAGTGGAGGAGGAGGGGGAGAGTGGTGGAACCGGTGTGAAATATCTTCGCCGACTTTTCCATCGGGGAACATCCGTTGTTTCCGTGCGAGTCGCGGCGCGAAAAATACTGTGCGCGAACATCTTCGTCGAATATTCGATCGTCGCGTTTTTTCATTTTCTTTTTTTTTTTGTTCAACGGAAATCGTTCCCCGGAAAAGCGACAACAACACCGTCGTGTTAGCGATCGGACCGCTGCCACGGAAGAGTCTCGAATAAAAATCGGTTCGTTTTCGGCGTGTGTGTACGACCCCTAAGAAACGTTTAGTGTGTCTTTCCCCTATTCCTTAGTAATCATTAAATCATCCCTATCACCGCGAGGGTTCGTATTACAATTTTTCCTCGTTTGTTTATATTTCATTAAAATTCGACAATTGATTGCCACGCTCGAAAATTCCACAAGCCCGACAGACTAAAAATATTCCCTATGACAGGTGAGAGAGAGCGACACTCCTCTATGTATAGCAATTTCTTTTGTTCTCGCAGCGTGAACCGCGCCTCGGCAATTCCCGTTCCTCGCGTTCAGCCTCGCTCCCCCGGATTTTTTCCGTTCCCGGACAATCGTCGCGCGCGTGTTACCTCTGTCGCATAGCCCCGATCGGCTTGTGTCTTTTTTGTTTTCTCGTTTTGTTTAAACTCCCGTCATTTTTAAACGTTACTATACTCGCTAGCCCTCGTTTAATAGTTCCTTAAATATGTAATAAGCAAAAATATGAATATAATAATAGTTTTGTGTGTATATAATAATAATTATTACTTTACTCGTCACGGTTTTTTCTTATTTCCATTTGTTATTCCCCCCTGCGTTCTCTATGCGTCGATAGGATCGTGATTAATCAATTAATTCAATTAATTAACAATGATTTTGTTAAAAGAGTGTAAGGATCTCTTTAATCTCGCCTCGCTCTCTTTCGCTCTCTTCACATTTTCTCGCCCGGTATCCCGCAGTCCCTCCCGCTTTCTCACTCTTTATTACACTTTTTTTTTGTTCTTTCCGTTTCGCTTCGTTTAAACTCCTCTCTCACGGTTTTGTTCACGGTTATCATTCTTTTTTTGTCTTATATCCGCTTCGCGCATCATTTTTATTTATTTCTTTGGTTTTCTTTGTTTCGTTCACATTATCAACTAATAATTCTTTAAGCTTAGTGGCATGAAAATGCTCGTTGGAATTGACTCGTGTGTACAGTAAATCCTATACAATCTTTCCTCCTTCTCTCCCTTCTCTCATTCGCGCTCGCTCCGCACAATTTAATTAACTCGCTAATTCGAAAACGCCTCGCGTGTACTCGTGTTACTCGTCTCTGGCTGTCAATGCGTGTCAACGTGTTTTCGCACGTGTGTGTATTTTTGTACGTGTCCGTGTACGCGTGTGTGCGTGTATGTATGTATATGCGTGTATATTTATGCGCGTGTGTTATGCGTCTTTGTGTACGTGTGCACAGGCTTGTCTCGAAACGCCGGAGGATCGAGAAAACGCAGCCTCGATGGGCAGATCCTCTCGATGGATCTGACGGCGTGAACGATCGAATTCCCCTTAGTTTGCCTTGTTATTCAGAACGGAAATGAACGACAGGAAACAAAAAATAAAGAGAGAAGACGAGAAAATTTGTCTGTCTGTCTGTCTGTTCACCGTCCGCCGCGTGGCGGACGTCGAGACCGCGAAGTATGCTTTGTTTCTTTTTCTTTTTTCGTTTGTATCGGATAGGATTGCAGCAGCATTCGCTCCGTGAATAAAGTGTTTCTCTATCATTGTTTTGTTTCATTTCATTCTGTTTGCATCATCTCATGATCTCTGTCGAAACGTTTCCTCTGCCCCGTTCAGCGGTAAAGAGAGTGTTTGTCGTTCAGCGGAAATACTTTCTTGGATCACCATTAAATTTATCACAATAGATTTTTGCCGTTCGGAATCGATTTAGCGGAACAACGCGGCCCGCCACGGCTGCGCGGCCACGTGGTCGCCGAGTTAAAACCGTCACCGCATTTTGTTTTTCCCGCCGTTCGCATAAATTAATTCGCCTTAAATTCGCCCGTAAGTCGCGCGCGTATTCATTCGTTATTATTACGTTTTTTTTCATATTTTTTTTGTCTTAAAACCACCACTTCTCTTCTCTTTCTCCCCTTCGTTTCTCGCGTTTGTATTTTCCTTCGCGTTCACTACTTTTTATCGTTTCGCTTTTATCTTGTCCTCTTTTATTCTCGTTCCTTTTATTTTATTTTATTTTATTTTATTTTATTTTATTTTTTTTGTATCATTTGTCTCTTGTTATCTAAAGAATCTCCATTAAAAAAATCCCCTACTGGAGAGAGAAACGGTAGGTAGGTTTGTAACAATGTAATCGACTATGCTTATACCCTAAAAAATTGTAACGCTACGAAGTTGATTATACTGTGACTTTAAGCACAGCCCGTGGATGAAGCGACCCGCCGCGCGCCGCGCTCTCGGCCGGCGACGGGGCGTCTTTAATTTCTTATTTTCATTTGTTATTTAAATAATCTTCTCACGTCTCCCGCGATACTCTCATCATAAACTCTCCCTAGCTCTCGCCTCGTTAATTCCCTTACTTCCTTCCTTTCGTTCCATCGTTTCTCCATCCTTTCGTTTCCTCTAGCAGCCCTCTTTGTCTTCACGCGTTCACTCTCTTTCACGCTCGGCTCATTCGTGCTATCTCTCTCTCTCACTCTCTCTCTCGCTCTCGTTCTCCCGACGCGTTCTCGCTAGAATAATCCCAAGACTTCATCGAAAATAAGGTGCTCCATATTCATCGACCTGAATCGTATATATCGCCTTTCTCGCGTTTACAAGCGACGAAGAGGATAAACTAATCCGTGCACGGAAGAGAGATCGTCGCCGCCGTCTAAGAGAGAATTATGCAGTGTCGACACGGTTCTCCCTGGCTCTCTTTGGCTCGCCTACAAAACGAGCATCGTCGTCGCGTTCCGGCGTACGCGTCGCGTCGCGTCCCGTCGCAGCCCGAGATCCCGAATCGAAATTGGAGAAGCAGCGGCCACGCGATTCCGCCGTGAAACTTCCCGTGAAAAAAACGAAACGGAACGGTGCGCTGGCTCGCTCCGACGACGAAACACTTCGTTTCATGTCGTTGCAACGGCCGAGCCAGAGAAATCCGTTCTCGGATCCAGCCGTGAAACGCCAACGAAACGTTCGACACGCGGGACCGACCCTCGGCCAAGGCCGGGTCACCGGGGACCCGCTATCGACGTCTCCGACCACGTCCTGAGAACGCTGTTACTTTCCAAAATACCTCCGGTGTCTTTCGTTTGCTTCGTAATATTCTAATGAAAAGTTAAGTTTCCAATTAAAAATTCTAATTGAACGATTCAATCCAATATGCAATTTACAGAGTCGTTTCCGTGTTAATTGTTTCAATTTTCGTTCGTTGCTACAGGTGCCCGTGGAATACTGAATTTTTCAAAGCCTTTACGCTTCGTACAATAGCCTTTTATTTGTCTCGTATTCATTCGCATCCGGTAATTATGCCGAGTGAATTTTTAACGTGCAATCTACACGGCTATTTTGTATCAATTATTTCAACGCTCTTGTTGCTGCAGGTACTTGCGAAATACTGAATTTTTCGGAGCCTCTATTCGTCGTACAATATCTTCTTATTTGTCCTGTGACGATCATTTTCGTTCTCTAATTACCTTGAATTTTTCACGCGCTCCTCGTCGCCAATTATTTCGCGTAATTGTTTCGCACGCGAAACGTGAGATCTCCTTTCATTTTTCTTGCACGGCTGGACACACGGATTTTCATGCAATATAAAAATCGTCTCGATCAATTAAACGATGCCAGGAACTACGCGGACACGTGCTTCCTCCCTTAATCGTACCAACGAATTGACAGCGATGCGAGTAATAATTGCGAATTCTATAAATACATTCGTTATTTTACATTCGATCTATCCAGTTTCGTCGCAGATGCGTCAAATCCGCAGTCCGTTTACGAGCGTTCCGTTTCCACCCCTTAACGACAAGGTCGGGATCATTAAAGCGAAACCGAAGCTCGTAAACTTTTTTCCTGAACGGATCAATTAAAATCCGACGGTCGTTCGAAGGATTGCTGCTACTCTTTCCGCTCCAATTGCCAATTTAATGCCTGCCAATTATTCCGAGTGCTAAACAGCCGTGAGAATCCAACGATCCGCGGGTCCGCCGAATGACCGGAATACTGAAATGTCTGCGGGGGGGTCGCGAGCGACCCGACCAGTCGAGGGTCGACCGTGAGCCCCGAATAAACCTCGAGGGCACTGGCGGAATAAAAAATAGAAAGGGACGAGCGGAACGCTGTCTCGTAAAAGCGGGGAAAAAATACGAAACGGGAGCGTGCAGTGCGCCGCGATGCAATTCCCGCGCGAACGATTCACCGACACGCGAGCCAGGAAACGGAAATGGATTATACGAGGAGGAAGCTAGCTGGCGAGTCGACGCGGAAAAAGAAAATAGCGGAACATAGCCTCTTTTGTACTACTCTCAGTCGTAAAACGGGATCGATGCCTCGCGAAACGATAGGCCAACGTGTGGCGTATACACGTGGCATGATTCTCGGTCGTGTCCAACGAGGGACACGCGATCCTCGACACTTCGAGTGCTCGGAACGTCCGCGGGGAACGTCCCTCGCCCCTGTAATCCTCTACCAAAAATAAAGCCGTTGCAATATTCCTCCCCTTCGAGCCTCAATGAAAGCTATTTTAAACGGTAACATTTACCATCGGAAGATCGCCTTGACGCGGCGCTTCGAAGCGAGGCACCTCGCCCACCGGTTCACGGTCTCGCACCTCGAAAATATGGTCGAAACCAACCCTGCTGCCGAGTTCACTTTTTTCTTATCATTTTAACCGGTTAGATGTGTTCGACGAGTATACTCGTCATGGAGAAGAGGCATTATTTTGTGTCTCGACGAGTATATTCGTCGTGCGTAAAAAGTAGGGACCATTGGCTATATAATTTTGGTGAGAAGAAAAACGTATTCTCAAATTTCAAGATGTTTACAATACTCTGAGGCCAATTCTACGCGAAAATGTTTACATTATTATAAAAATAAGATTAGAAAAGAATCACGATATCGGTATTCGACGTGCAAAATGTCGTTATGTGTCGTTGCTTGCTTTGCTAAATACCATTCTACAGCAGCAATTTGGGGTTCGACAGACTATAGAAAATTGCGAGAATTATGTGACTGGTATCCTATAGTCTGTCATGGTTTTCTTTGGTGATACTTCTTTATCGGAACGGTTGGACGGACCACAGAAAATCGTAAAAATTATATATTCTGTAGTGCATCGTGATTTTCTTTGGTAACAGAAACGTAACAGACGCAACACATGGACAAACTATAGAAAATGGCGAGAATTATGTGACTGGTATCCTATAGTCTGTCGCGATTTTCTTTGGTAATACTTTTGCAGAACATCGAGAGCTTATCGCTCGTCTTTTTCCCCTTCGATTTCGAACATTTGTATCAACAAATGCGGGTGCACGATCCGCGAACTCGGTGCAGAAGAAATGAGAAGAAGCAGCAGGGTTAGCAGAATGCCCAATGCCGGCCATTTTGCGGCAACTGGACCGTGAATCTTCGTGCACTATAATTTAATTTAATTTATATTCAAATTATATCTCACCAAAGATATAATTAAATATATAGTCAAAGATATATAACTAAATGTATAATTAAATATATAATCGAAGATATAACTAAACGTATAATTAAATATATATAATCAAAAATATAATTAAATATATAACTAAATCAGGTGTAATTTATATTTAACACCGTGTCAGACTCGTCATAAAGATCTCCGACATAAATCATTTAACACCGTCGCATTCCACTGCATTTCGATCGCGATCTCTTCTCGACGTTCGCAAATCAACGTAGCCGTGCAAATTCTTCCTCGCGCACGTAACACGCCAAAGAATGCCCCTTTTACCACGAAAACAACTTACGATGAACATGTAGAACGATCCAAAGTCCAGCGACTCGTACNGAGGAGGAAGCTAGCTGGCGAGTCGACGCGGAAAAAGAAAATAGCGGAACATAGCCTCTTTTGTACTACTCTCAGTCGTAAAACGGGATCGATGCCTCGCGAAACGATAGGCCAACGTGTGGCGTATACACGTGGCATGATTCTCGGTCGTGTCCAACGAGGGACACGCGATCCTCGACACTTCGAGTGCTCGGAACGTCCGCGGGGAACGTCCCTCGCCCCTGTAATCCTCTACCAAAAATAAAGCCGTTGCAATATTCCTCCCCTTCGAGCCTCAATGAAAGCTATTTTAAACGGTAACATTTACCATCGGAAGATCGCCTTGACGCGGCGCTTCGAAGCGAGGCACCTCGCCCACCGGTTCACGGTCTCGCACCTCGAAAATATGGTCGAAACCAACCCTGCTGCCGAGTTCACTTTTTTCTTATCATTTTAACCGGTTAGATGTGTTCGACGAGTATACTCGTCATGGAGAAGAGGCATTATTTTGTGTCTCGACGAGTATATTCGTCGTGCGTAAAAAGTAGGGACCATTGGCTATATAATTTTGGTGAGAAGAAAAACGTATTCTCAAATTTCAAGATGTTTACAATACTCTGAGGCCAATTCTACGCGAAAATGTTTACATTATTATAAAAATAAGATTAGAAAAGAATCACGATATCGGTATTCGACGTGCAAAATGTCGTTATGTGTCGTTGCTTGCTTTGCTAAATACCATTCTACAGCAGCAATTTGGGGTTCGACAGACTATAGAAAATTGCGAGAATTATGTGACTGGTATCCTATAGTCTGTCATGGTTTTCTTTGGTGATACTTCTTTATCGGAACGGTTGGACGGACCACAGAAAATCGTAAAAATTATATATTCTGTAGTGCATCGTGATTTTCTTTGGTAACAGAAACGTAACAGACGCAACACATGGACAAACTATAGAAAATGGCGAGAATTATGTGACTGGTATCCTATAGTCTGTCGCGATTTTCTTTGGTAATACTTTTGCAGAACATCGAGAGCTTATCGCTCGTCTTTTTCCCCTTCGATTTCGAACATTTGTATCAACAAATGCGGGTGCACGATCCGCGAACTCGGTGCAGAAGAAATGAGAAGAAGCAGCAGGGTTAGCAGAATGCCCAATGCCGGCCATTTTGCGGCAACTGGACCGTGAATCTTCGTGCACTATAATTTAATTTAATTTATATTCAAATTATATCTCACCAAAGATATAATTAAATATATAGTCAAAGATATATAACTAAATGTATAATTAAATATATAATCGAAGATATAACTAAACGTATAATTAAATATATATAATCAAAAATATAATTAAATATATAACTAAATCAGGTGTAATTTATATTTAACACCGTGTCAGACTCGTCATAAAGATCTCCGACATAAATCATTTAACACCGTCGCATTCCACTGCATTTCGATCGCGATCTCTTCTCGACGTTCGCAAATCAACGTAGCCGTGCAAATTCTTCCTCGCGCACGTAACACGCCAAAGAATGCCCCTTTTACCACGAAAACAACTTACGATGAACATGTAGAACGATCCAAAGTCCAGCGACTCGTACAGAAGAAAGAAGACCGAATCCGGTGAGCGAAGCGCGAGCAGGTCGGCGAACTCGTTCGCCGTGTGTCGCGTCTACCACCTACCTTGTCTGAGACCGTCTGGGCAAAGAAATGCGGAGCGTTAGAGTGGATAGGTAGACGTCGAAACGAAGTCGAAGACCAAGACGAAGACGAGGAAGGACTGGGCCGGAGCCTCGTGGAACAGAGGTGTGAGAGCGGTTGGACAGATCGAGCTGGATCGAAGAGGCAGGTACGAGTGTGTGTATTAAACCGAGTGGATGATATCTGTGGGAGGGGGGTTGAGGGGGATATTCGTGCGGAGGATCGTAGAGAGCAAAGCGTTTGCCGGCTTCGTCGGTAGATCCAAGGTCCTCCGGATCGTGTTGCGGGGGATGGTCGAGAGCCCCGCGACGCTCGCGTTGCCGCCGAGTTCCTCGAGAGGGGGGGGGAGAGAGAGAGAGAGAGAGAGAGAGCCGTCCCCCACCGGCGACCGATCAATGCGGATCTTCTAGGCTCTATTGTTTCGCCTCGGTAAGCTCATCGGCATTCTGCGCGGCCGTCGACAGCCGACAGTCGATTAAGTGACCTCTGGGTTGGCGGCTACTAGGCTGGCCCCTGGGCTAGATGAGGGCGAGCTTTGGGGGACAGCAACCCCCCGTAAAATGCCCGTTGGCTGCCTCCCGTTCCCGTTTGCGGCGGCCCTGGCGTTCTGCAGCCTATAGTCCCAGAAACGCAACAACATGTTCATGTAGATCCGATCCACCGGGCGCTACGCTAGTGGCGAGTTGTGCATACATGACACTGAATGACCAAGCACTCTGAGGAACACGTCAACTACGAAACAAACGAGCGCATCTAAGTCTTCTGGCTCCGCGATCGATACCTTTGCTCGAGAACGTTCCGCGATCGCGATCGGTCGCGCCGATATCCGCCGGCGACTTTTTCCCTTTCGTGAATGGTTGGAGAGAGAGAGAGAGAGAGAGAACTCGTCGTGGGCGCGGTTGCTGTGTGCGTGTTACGGGGCTGGAGTGTAAAGGCTGAACACACCGGTGAATGTACACACTTACTCGGACGCTTTAGTCGAAGCTACCGATTAATCTGAGACCGAGAAGAGACGGAGGTCGTTTTGCTGAGACTAGGGCTAACCCAGAGGGCTACGGTCGGAGAAGGGTTTCGTTAGTCCAACGGTAGATTAATGGACCGCTTTCGCAGCAGACGTCAACCCTGGAAAGACTGGCCCGAACGATCCTGGTGTTAGACCGTGGAAATTTATGCAGACTGCTGGTATTATTTCGTCGAGTCATAAAGTAACTTCCGTTCTCTCGTCGGATATTTAGTTTGTTTTCTTTTATTTTCTGCTATCTCTTTTTATTTTATTTATTTTAAACCCTCGCAGTAGATTTAGATGCGAACGATAGATTCTATCTAGCTGCATCGGAAGTTATTTATAACTCGACTTAATAACACTGCGATATACTGCGACGAGACTATGAGGCTAGTCTATCAACCCTTTGCAGTCGAAGCTATTTTAAAACGAAATCCAAAACATGTTTTCTGATCTACGCTATTTCCATTTTATATGATTCAGTTTTACTATTTATTTATTCATATGAAACTGAGCCTATTGGTAAATAGAATACTTGGAATACTTGGAATACTTTTTAGTGACGCCTCAAAGTCGTCGCTCGAGTGCAAAGGGTTAACAATTATTCCACGTATATCCGTGTGCACGACGAACACTGTCTGCATCGAACAGTCTTCTAATAGATCGGAATTCTAAATAAAGTCTCGTAATCGAGCGTATCGACGACCGGTTCGGAAGACAAGTATTTCGAGGGTTGAGAGATCGTTAAACTCGAGAAGAAGGCAACTTATGAAACAATGTGGCCCGCGTATGCCGGCTGGAGCACCATTAATCTAGCGTGCGTACACTTTATAACCAGCGAAGCTAATATATACATAAATATCACCAGAGCACAAGGTAGCACACAGAGGCGAGTTCGCGTTCATTGTCGTGGTCGTAACACGCATACGGAACACCTGGCCCAGCGAGCCTGTAAAAACCGTCGAGCAAAGTGAGAATCGAGGGGAGCTGATAATCTCATACGTCTTCTATGACAAGCTCCGTATATGAAACACAGTTGCATGGACTTGGTACTCGGTAGAACACGGTCAAGTAACATCGAGAACAGGGAAACAACAAAGCACCGATTACATTCCGTAATAAAACACAGAGTAGCTAATCGGAGACATGATACTCTTTTAGTCTTTGTTCGCGGTGTAATTCGAGATCTCGCGGCCCGGCAACAAAAGATTCAATTGTTCTATTCTTTTTTTTGCATTACTGTTTCTTTCTTTCTTTCTTTCTTTATCTTTTTTGGTGTCGTGAGAACAGGGTGCGCTGATCGTCCTGGTGAAAAGCTCTGCCAAGTATCCTCCGTTAGGATTGAAATCACTAGTCTTTTTTTGTTGTTGTTTCTGTTTCTTTTCTCTTTTGTTCTATTTTTTTCTTTTTTTTTCTTTCTTTTTTTTAGTTTAGTTTAATTTAATTATGTACGGGAGCGATAAAACGAGCAGTGTTTGCCGCGCGACAATCGCCCTACTTGTTTTTGTACGTTACTTACCGGTCGTGAATCGTCCCACGACAAGCTGCATTAGTACACACAGAAGAGGGAGACTTTAGAACTTTTAGATGTCTTTCGTTACGATAAGCCTTTCGTGTGCTAACAAGAAGTACTACATAACTAATAATGCGTGCACACCGTTGCAACAGGAAATGCAATTAGGTGCACCCGGCCGGATACTAACTTGATTTTCGACTGTCGCATGAACTGCTGGATCTTCCTCGCCGCCTGATGGGCCGCCTGCTGGTGGACCGCTTGCTGGCGGGAGCTCGCCGAGCCAGGCCGGGACCGATAATTACGGTAGTTGCTTTGTATCACCAGAGCAGCCTTCGTGGCTTGTCTACGGAACACCACAAGTGGGAAAACACACCGTGAAATAAAACAACCGTGGCCGGCGCGAGGATGCGAACATGCTGTCTAAGCGTACCCGGCGCAGCCGTGACTCGCGCACACCTCCCAATTATACCCCTAATCAACCGTGCCTAATCACCCGTCGTCCACGAATCGTCGGGACGAATGGACCGTCTGTTTTGAACGCGGTGCAAGTCCACGTTTTCTGTTGTTTCGAGAAAATCAAAGGATAGCAAGTCTGTAAATGTTTCCACTAGTTTGTCAATATGTAACTTGATTGTAATAAATCTCTTTTAGGCGAATTTAACTAGAATAATGTATATTTACGGGCTGCGAGTGGACTTACAACATTTTCAAAATAAGTGGACCAAATACAGTAATGTCCCCCTAAGTGACGCTTAGATTCTGCACAAAAATAGACAATTTAGGAAGAGGAGATACGATTATTCGACCCTTAACATAACCTTGACATAACTGGTACAAAATTTTGCTATGGACCTAGGTGGACCAGTTACTGAGATTAGTGGAATTCATTTCCGGACAGATTACAAGAATCCGGAAAATGAATTCCACTAGTCTCAGTAACTGGTCCAAAATTTTGCTATCGGCGGAGGCTGTCTCTTATACACATCTAGATGTGTATAAGAGACAGCCTCCGCCGATAGCAAAATTTTGGACCAGTTACTGAGACTAGTAGAATTCATTTTCGGGATTTTTGTCATCTGTCTGGAAATCAATCCCACTAGTCTCAGTAACTGGTCCACCTCCGCCGATAGCAAAATTTTGGACCAGTTACTGAGACTAGTAGAATTCATTTTCGGGATTTTTGTCATCTGTCTGGAAATCAATCCCACTAGTCTCAGTAACTGGTCCAAAATTTTGCTATCGGCGGAGGCTGTCTCTTATACACATCTAGATGTGTATAAGAGACAGCCTCCGCCGATAGCAAAATTTTGGACCAGTTACTGAGACTAGTAGGATGGATTTCCTGATAGATTGGGGTGCCAGTGTAGATGAATTTTTTGTAAATGTTATGGCTCGAATAATCGTATCTCCTCTTCCCAAATTGTCCATATTTGTGGACAATCTGAGCGTCAATTAGAGAGAAACATTATTACAGCTTTGGAGAGCTGTGACACAGAAGTTAATATTTGAGAGACTACAATTTCTCGCGGCTGAAAATGTTACTTAATTATTGAATTTCGAAGGCTGTGTTAACACTTTAGTAACCCTTTGCACTCGAGGAATTCTTCATTCTGTAATCTTCGTGCTAAAAACCAGAAGGTTCGTACAATTTAGATATTTCATCAGACAGAACAGCTTTTGTAAGCGATAACGATTAACACTATCTATCTAGACAAAATGACTGGATTCTGATTGTTTCATTTGCAATTCCTGATGTTATAAAAACGTCTCTATAAGAGGTTTTTAGATAAACTTCATTCAAGCATATACGGTCGTAGAAATCGAACGAAATTTAAATAAACCCTATCGTTGTTGTAAAACAACATACGTAGTTCTAGTGTTAAATGAGCGCATTCACTTGTGCCAGACTTATTAGCAATGGTATGATAATTCTTCGCAGTGCCTCAGAGTCGCCATTCGAGTGCAAAGGGTTAAACAATAGTACGTCTTCTGTCTCCGTTACAATATCACGAACTTACTTAAAATAGAAATGAACGAATCGATTAATCTTTCTTAACTACAGCTATTGTCCATCTGTTTCTAATGATATATTTAAAATCTATTCTCCGATTAAATGCACAGCTCCCTACAGCTAATATTACTTGATTAACCCCTTGCACTGTAACAATGAGTCTACTACAGTCTACTAACAGTCTACTAAATCGAAACAAAATTTGATTCTTTAGTTATCAAAATCCAGGAATGAAAGTAAACGAAAATGATTAATTACAAAAAAGTGTGTTAATCAACGCAGTTGCAAACGAATCGCAGTGCAACGGGTTAGCACGAAGGCCGCAGTCTAAAGCAAGTACTAAAACGCTGACAGTCGAAAAGATCGAAGTCGACCTCGAACGCCCTAAAGGAGGTGCGCGCACATTAATTATGCCGCTCTCGAAGCCAAAGCTTGTTCCACGACAATCCTCGAAACAGCACGTAATTTCGAGAGTTGCCCGGGAGTGCGTGCCGGCCGATTCACCCTGTACACGTATCGCAGGGGGGGCACGAGAGCGAAAGAAGCGGTTGGATTGGGAGCAGGTTAAGCTTTCATCTCAAACAAAAGTCGTATTAATTTAATGCCAGGTTAATTTTGTATTCGGGACGTCGGCCCGGGACGCCCGGCCGGCCGAGGAACTTCCGAAAGTTTTCGAATTATTTACGATGCCAATTAAAAGTTCGTCCCCCGTCCCTGCCGGGGGCCGGTCGGAATGAACTTCGCAAGGGAAATCCGTCCGATTCCACTGAATCGTTAAATTGGCCCTGTCCTCCTCCTCTTATTAATTGCCGCTTATTAAAACGAGCGCGGAATAACGAAAGCGAGCCCCGCGATACCGCCCACGCAGTGCCCCGAAATTAGCCGATTAGCGAACTTTTACCGTCGGCTCCGCGATCGAGTACAAGTTGTTTTCGAATCATGGAACGAACGCAAGCTCGAGGAAGCGGATTTCTGAGCGGTTTCGTGTTAGAAACGATCGAACCTTCCCCAAGTGGGACTACAATCGAGGAAATTGAAATTCCAGGCTTCGCTGTGATATTCTAGAAACAAACCTGGGCGCATTTTATGTGACATTATTCGAGATGTTGTTTCAAATAACGTGCTTATTTTATTTCATAATTATTTGAAGTATTATTTCAAGTATTGTGTTATTTTACTTCGCAATTGTTTGAAATATTATTTCAAATGACGTTATTTAACTTCATAATTATTTGAAATATCATTTTATATAATATGTTATTTTACTTTGCAGTTATTTGAAATATTATTTCGAATGACGTTATTTTACTCCATAATTATTTGAAATATCATTTTATATAATATGTTATTTTACTTTGCAGTTATTTGAAATATTATTTCGAATGACGTTATTTTACTCCATAATTATTTGAAATATCATTTTATATAATATGTTATTTTACTTTGCAGTTATTTGAAATATTATTTCGAATGACGTTATTTTACTCCATAATTATTTGAAATATCATTTTATATAATATGTTATTTTACTTTGCAGTTATTTGAAATATTATTTCAAATGACGTTATTTTATTTCATAATTATTTCAGACAATATCTCAAATAACATATTATTTTAATAATCTTTTTGTTGTCTATTGTTTTAAGGATTATCTCCCTTGACATAATTCAAATCAGCAGATAAATAACAATTATTTAATACAATAACGAAGAAAATAATTATTTGAAATTGCTAATATTTGAAATGAAACGATATTACTTTGGAAACAAATTATTTCTCATTTCGAAGAAAATTTGCCCGGGTCTGTCTGAAAACTGACAAACGGATGAATTATCTGTTTGCATGACTGCGGATTGAGATACTCGAGATGGAATTGCAAGGGGCTGTCTGAAGTAGACGCTCGTGAAAGGTTCGACCGATCAAAGCACCGTTTGCTGAAAGCACTCCGAACTCGAAGCCATTCCGTTTCAACGGTCGAGTGTTTGTTTGAAACAGTCTAGCCAGATTCGAACCTACTTGCGACATTGTCCCTAGTGGATTCGGTATCTCGCCGTGTGAGTCGCAGGATCATTGGGTAGCAAAGACAGAACGGCCGCGTAAAGCTAGAAACGGATTACCTATGATAAGCGTACTGTTTATGTCGACGATAATATTGCTGGATGAGAACGGCGGCGTGTCTCTCGGCCTCCTCCTGCCTCTGTCGTCCCTTGTAATTTCTGTAGGCTTTCTGGATCATGCGGGCCGCGTGGTAGAGCTCCCTTTGCTCGCAGTCGGACAATGTCAGCCTGCTAAGGTCAGCCTCGCTACCGTCCCCGGTCCCGTTACCGCCGCCGGTCACCGACCCGCAAATCCCGGAGCCGATCACGTTACCGAACTTCCGGTCACCCCCGGCTCCGTAGTATTGACCGTTCCGGCCGTTCCCGCTGTCCAACTGCAATTGCAGCTGCAGGAACTCGCAAAAGTCGGCGGTGGTAGGCGGCGGGGACGGCGAGTCCGGTGTCAAGCAGCTGCTCGATGGACTCGAGGGACTCGCATCCGCGTCAGCGTCCGACACCGATGCTGCACCTCCGCTGCAGTCGCGGTACGAGTCGAACAACTCCCCGGAGTCCAGCGGCTGCAACAGTGGAGACACACGCGCAAGTTTCAGCTGTAATGCACATTCGGTTTTCATAGAAATTCGTCTTCTGGAAGGTGGCTCGCGGGGGACTCTGGGTGCCCAATGGGCTGGGTGCCTCTGGGTGTCCAGAAGAGTTTGACGGGGTTGTACGAGAGCCAAGAATTTTTGGGATAACTGTGCTTTGGAAAGTTGCATGGAGGGCTGAGACTGCTTCGGATTTTCCAAGAGGGGACAGAATGTCTCGCAACTCGCGTAACTTGGACGGCGAGGCGTCGAGCAGAAGATATAGATAAGTTGCTCTTGTTTCAAGGTTTTTTAAGACTTCGGTGACTTGGACATTGGGGCGTTGCATCGATTAAGGAATGTACACAGTTAGTCTTGTCTTAAATTTTTATGCAATTTCGGAGACTCGGACATTGGAGCGTTGCATCTCGATTAAGGAATGTAAACAAATTATTCTCGACTGAAATTTTCATGCAACTTCGGTGACTTGGACGCTGGAGCATTGCGTCGACTAAGAGACGCGAACAATTACTCTTGGCTTGAATCTTTACGGTGATTGACAGGATTGTACAAGAACCATGAATAAGGGACGAGTGTACTTTTATTGGAAACTTGACTGGAGGGAGTGAAACTGCTACACTTTCGTGCAACTGTGTTTCCCAACTTCGAATTGACACGCTTCGCAGAGTCACGAAGAAGTGTCAACGTGGACAACAATTGCTAAAAATTCTCACTTCTCCGATGACGACGATGCTGATCCGAGGCAATGTGTACTCTAAGCTCTTCAAAGTATCGGCTATCTTTCTCGAAAATCACGGACAGAAGAGACTAAGCGTTCGACCGTTGCACCAACCAGCAAAGTTTCCTCAAGGTCTAAGGGCGGACGTTGATTTTTCAGCACGACGGAGCCTCGACCGGTGAGATCCGAAGATCGCTGGTCGAGGCTGCATCGTGAGAGGGTAATGTATGTTGGGAACGAAATGAATAGCTCACCATTTGTTCCATCAGAGCGTCCTCGAGTGGCGACAAGGGCGGTGCCGGGGGAGGCGGCGAGGAAGAAGACGGAGAATCACCTTCCGCTCTCTTGATCCTCTCCGGCAGCGCAGCTATAATTTGCTCGGCCAATGTCAGCACCCTCGCGTCTTCCTCCCCTATAAAAAGGAATCACCACCCTAGCCAAAACTCGAAAAAGGTGTGACGGGACCGGCGAAATCACATCGATCACAACACCGAGGTATGTCTGGTATTTTTTTGTTCTTAATAGTCTCTGTTCATTGAACACGTATATATATATAATAAATGTATATATGTAGATATATATATATATACTCTTATTTTTTTGTTTGTTTGTACGACGAAATCGGACGTTAATCGGACGTTAATCGGAACGTGGTAACGCCGAGGAGAGAGTCGGCTTTTGCGAAACTTTTCTAGCGGATCGTTAGTTCGGTTAATCGATAATCGACGAGCGCAGACGTGGCTGATTCGACTCGTTGCTCAGCTCGTTGTTGGGTTCGGCTGAACCGAACCGGCAAACACGACGATATCGAGCGTGCTCGCGTTTCCCGCCAAATTGCGCCGGATCCACGATGCGTTCGCGGATCGCCCGCTATCGAGACTGTCGTCGGAGACGGCGGCGTCTGTCTTTCGAGGGACTCTGGTATTTGTTCGGCAGAGACACGGATCGCCGACAGATAGAGACGGCTAGGAAAGTGTTTTGTTTTTTTATGTTGTTGTTGTTGTTTTTTTTTTGGTTTTTTAGACGTTACACAGCAATCATCCAACACCAGCGGTTACGAAGGCCAAGCAACACCAATACTGCTTTTAAGCTGCAAGAGTTTCAGAGGAGTTAGAGGACAGCGAGAGCCTGGACCGTCCCGGTCGTCTCGTACGCACAGACAGAGAGACAGTGAAACAGAACAAAAGAACGTTCTCGTTCGTGTGTAGGCGTCTGTCCGTGTGTTCACTGTGTTTCGTTTGCGTGTCCGTGTGTACGTGTATGCTGGTGTCTAAGTGTGTGTGCATCAACTAAAGAATGTAATGAAACAAAAAACAGATAGAGAGATAGAGATAGAAGAGAGAGAGAGAGGAGAAAGGAAGAGAGACAGACAGAGAGCCAGAGAGAGAGAGAGAGAGAGAGAGAGAGACAGATGAGAAAAAAACAGAGTTGAAGAGGGAGACGCAGTTTTAGCTAGGAAAGACTACGGATCACAGCCCGGAGGCGCAGTACTGTTTATCTAGGCCGATGGATCTATAAAGTGTATTAATTAGAGAACACACATAGATTACACGAATAGTTACAGATAGACAGGCAGACAGACAGACAAATAGAAGGGGAAACGAGGAAGGTACGGACCTACAGTCTCCTGAGGGGTCGGAGCGCTCTCCATTCCCTGCTCGCTGAGGGCTAATGACGAGTCATCCTCTTGCAACAATTCCATGTTGTCCAGCAGCGGGGGGCCACCTGTGTTTTTCGATAAACCCCTTAATGCTACGTCTCCTGAATTAGGATCGGTTCACGCTCGCATCATCTCTTTACGACCTTGTACTCGAAATTTTCTCTTACAGGGGCGGGCCAAGCTTATCAAGGGGCTTATTCTGCTCATAGGGGGGGGGACGTGGAGGATCCGATATAACGCGCTATTTGCAGGGTACTAAGGGGTCTGTGGTTTCAGTTTAGCACATTTTGGAGAACAATCGAGGGGTGTGGGGGAAGAGACTGAGTGAGTTAAACTCTGTGTGTGGACGTGAATTTGTATGTGCGTGTCAGATTTACGGAAGAGGGCAGTATAATATTAAACGAGACTAACACAACGTCAGATCGAGACCGCTGTCTTGAGATGGCCTCCTAGGACTAGGGCTGGCGGGCCGCAAGAATAGCCTCTCGTCTTGCCTCCTCGCTTCGAGTCGATTCAATTCTTCCGTGATCGCCGTGTGACCGTTCTCGGCCGCCAGCTCCGTCGCTGTTCTGTTCTGGCAATCCCGCACACGAAGCGCCATCGCGTTCCATCTGCGCACACAGGCAAACCTTCATCGTAGTCCGAGCAAACGTGCAGCGAGGACAAGGATCTAGGTCGCTTTCAAATTACTGGAATACTGAGCTACGAGAGTTCGGGAGACTTTTGGAGATCGAGGAAATCTTGTAAGGAGACCTTTGCTACCCTCTAACAACTGGGATTATGCAGCGTGTCCCAAAAATGTCTCGCAATCCGAAAGTTATTTGGTGGGTTCCTCAAATTATTTGAAGCAACTTCTTCCTTTACAAAAATGTTCTCCGAGGCACCGTCAACGAGTTATTAACGAAAACCAGTGACCAATAAGAATCGAGTACGGTTGACGCGAGGCGGCCCAGCCGACCAGCGCGCGAAGCCCAGTTCCGCTCATTGGCCCGGTCGCCTCGCGCCAGCTGAGCTCCCCTCTCACTGGTCACTGTTTTTCATTAATAACTCGTTAACGGTGCCTCGGAGAACATTTTTGTAAAGGAAGAAGTTGCTTCAAATGACNAGGGCTAATGACGAGTCATCCTCTTGCAACAATTCCATGTTGTCCAGCAGCGGGGGGCCACCTGTGTTTTTCGATAAACCCCTTAATGCTACGTCTCCTGAATTAGGATCGGTTCACGCTCGCATCATCTCTTTACGACCTTGTACTCGAAATTTTCTCTTACAGGGGCGGGCCAAGCTTATCAAGGGGCTTATTCTGCTCATAGGGGGGGGGACGTGGAGGATCCGATATAACGCGCTATTTGCAGGGTACTAAGGGGTCTGTGGTTTCAGTTTAGCACATTTTGGAGAACAATCGAGGGGTGTGGGGGAAGAGACTGAGTGAGTTAAACTCTGTGTGTGGACGTGAATTTGTATGTGCGTGTCAGATTTACGGAAGAGGGCAGTATAATATTAAACGAGACTAACACAACGTCAGATCGAGACCGCTGTCTTGAGATGGCCTCCTAGGACTAGGGCTGGCGGGCCGCAAGAATAGCCTCTCGTCTTGCCTCCTCGCTTCGAGTCGATTCAATTCTTCCGTGATCGCCGTGTGACCGTTCTCGGCCGCCAGCTCCGTCGCTGTTCTGTTCTGGCAATCCCGCACACGAAGCGCCATCGCGTTCCATCTGCGCACACAGGCAAACCTTCATCGTAGTCCGAGCAAACGTGCAGCGAGGACAAGGATCTAGGTCGCTTTCAAATTACTGGAATACTGAGCTACGAGAGTTCGGGAGACTTTTGGAGATCGAGGAAATCTTGTAAGGAGACCTTTGCTACCCTCTAACAACTGGGATTATGCAGCGTGTCCCAAAAATGTCTCGCAATCCGAAAGTTATTTGGTGGGTTCCTCAAATTATTTGAAGCAACTTCTTCCTTTACAAAAATGTTCTCCGAGGCACCGTCAACGAGTTATTAACGAAAACCAGTGACCAATAAGAATCGAGTACGGTTGACGCGAGGCGGCCCAGCCGACCAGCGCGCGAAGCCCAGTTCCGCTCATTGGCCCGGTCGCCTCGCGCCAGCTGAGCTCCCCTCTCACTGGTCACTGTTTTTCATTAATAACTCGTTAACGGTGCCTCGGAGAACATTTTTGTAAAGGAAGAAGTTGCTTCAAATGACCCGAGGAACCCACCACTTTCGGATTGCGAGACATTTTTTTTGGGACACTCGGAACTTAAAGTTACCCCGATGCTACAACCAACCTGAAGAACACGGATGAAGTTAACGGATGAGTACGAACCTATAAAGTATCCTGGCAGTATCCGCGTGTCCCGCCGCACAGGCCCAAGCAAGCGGCGTGAGACCGGCGCTGTCCTGCCTCAGGGCATCAACTTCAGCATCTAATACGCTACTAGGATTTTCCGCTCTCCAGTGAAGGAGCGCGCAGGCTAACCTGGAGTAGCCCAACCCGGCGGCCAAATGCAACAGTGTAGGGCCGCCGGATTGTAACGGTTCCGCTCCGGCTCGCCACGGACGGACAACAGCATCCTGGAACGCGTATCGTATCCGTAAGTAAGAGGACAATGGTAGCTCGAAGCAGGATCGTTGAAGAGACACCGACCTGACAATACGCGACAAGTCGCTCTTCCAGATGAGCTGCAGGGGATGGTGGACCAGGTCCTTGCAAACGAGACTCGACGTCTGCCAGACGATCCAGCAAAGCTCTCTCCGGACTTGGTTCTGTCGTGGGCGCCCTTCGGTACTCGAAGGCGACGCTGTCGGAGACAACGTAGCCGTCGCAGGCTACCTGAAGGGACGCTATCCCCGGAGCATGAGCAGGACAGCGGCAGCGCAGCACACCCGGCTGAACCAGACAGGCCTCGACCGGCTCCGTGTCGAACAACACCGAGTACGATTGAGAGTTGCTGCCGCCGGTCCAGGGACCTGCCACCAACACCTGGAACAAGACGGCGACCTTCTTGATCCCAGCTCCTTCTATTCTTTCCTCGTTTCTAGACACCCGTGTTATTATTCTCTTCCGATGACGGTCCACGAGAGACGAGCAAGACACTGTTTGCCATGAGAAGAGCAAAGACATCTGTCCCACTGTCCAGAGTACTCTGAAGTGACGTGGCTTCAGTGCTCTCGACTTCAACAGTGCCAGAGCAGTGTCTCACAGGGTGGAGCCTCCTTTAAACTATCCTAACAACCTCCTGCTTTGCTCGCTGTTTCAGCGTGCATCAGAATTTCTCCATTAGCTCTACAGCAGGCCCGAGCGGAGACAATGCTTTGGCTCCTCGAAAGCCGGTGGCCGCGCAGCCGTGCCTCCTAACCTTGACTAAACACGTCGACGATGTATCGTACCTTGACACCACCCTCGGTGTAGCTCCACTCCGGGCTATACTCTGCAATATGGACGGTTGTACCCGGATGACATCCCACATCGTTGTCGGAGCCACCCCTCTCCTCAGCCTTGGTCTGCTCGGCCTCGAAGTCGTGGAGCTCCGGCAGGTCGCCGAACACGTCGAAGGCGTCCAGATTGACCAGCACGTCGTCCGACGAGTCGATGAAGTCCATCGGATTGATCATGCTGTTGTCCGCCGGGGAAGGGGACGGTGACGGCGGCACCATGTTCGCCGACAACGTCCGTTGGATATCTTCCTGACTCAGATCCAAGGTCTCGGCGAAGTCGGTGACCTCGGTGCCGGCGCCGCCGATCGGCAACGCCTGCACCGCGGTGCGATCCATGCTCTCCTGCGCGTCGATCTCCTGCTTGATCTGTTGCTCCCTGTCGACGCTGGTCTGCTGCACTATCTGCTGTTCCGTGACCTGTTGCATCTCCACTTGTTGGCTCTGTTGCTGCTGCTGTTGTTGCTGCTGTTGCTGCTGCTGCTGTTGCTGCTGCTGCTGCTGCTGTTGTTGCTGCTGTTGCTGTTGCTGCTGCTGTTGTTGCTGCTGCTGCTGTTGCTGCTGCTGCTGGTGGTGGTACGGTTGGCTGTTCAGAATCAGAAGACCGCCGCCGCCTTGGATTTGTTGCAAACTTAACACTAGGGGAGCCGGCTGCTGGCTTTGCGTCGTATGGTAATGTCTCGAGTAGACGCGCGGAGCCGGCGACGCTGTCGTCGATGATTGCTGACCTCCGGTAGTCGAAGTTACCTGGGAACAATATTCGGGGACATTGCTCGGACATGCAGCTCTCGGAACGAAACTGTTCCACGAGAGGCGACGTAGAGGCTGCGCTGACCTGATTGTCCGGTGTTAGTCTCCTAGGTGCAAGCTGTGTGCCGGTGGTGGAGGAAGTGGAGTTCGCCCGCTGCCTGTCCAGCAGCTGCGAAACGATCATGTCGACGGGATGATTCGAGTGTTGGGTGAGATGAGGATTGTTCGGATCGTCATCCCCACCGAGGAACATGGGTCTAAGTTGAGAAGCCAGCTCGTCTCTTGTCCATTCCTTCTTGTCTGGCGGGAGCGCGAGACAGGGAGGCAGCGCAGCTAGCTTCGCATCGCCGTCCGGATAAGGAACGTTTAAGTAGTGAACGAGAACGACGTCCGGGTTCTGCAGTAGCCAGTAGCATCGCCGATGAAACGTCGGAAGGATCGCCGAGTGCACGTAACAGCCGTAGATGCACTCGACCCCCTGGACCTGCGATCCGATCGCAAAAAAAGAACCACCCTTAGTGCTCTAGACACCTGTGGACACCGCCCCGGAGGGCTTTACAGCTCGGCAACCGTAAAACGCTCTAGGCTACCTTCAGTTTCATGTGATCCTCCCGCGTCGTCTTCCCGTCCTTTCTCTTCTTCCAGCAGTAACCGTCCCTCCGGTAACGGACCTTCTTTCTCGAGTACAGTAACATCGACCCGCTTCGAGGTCGCACCTTCACCTCCCGACTCTGCCATTCCGCGTGCCTTTGGAAACTGATTAGGATGGCCGCGATTTCCTGCCGGCAGAAACAACCCTGTCAGCGCTACACCTTCGTCCTCTGCCAGCCACGGAATTTTACGTTAATTACTAGCAGTCGCTGTTCCGTCCGAATTTGGTTCGGAACTCGCCGCCGCGTCGAGTACTTCGACCTTTTATTTACCCTTCGCGATCCCTCCGTTCCCTCCGTTTTTATATAGCAAATATTTAAACGCGTGGTCGCCCTTTTTATCGTCTCCGAAACGCTCGACTCGTTCGATTAAACGTTGAGACAGCTGTTCCGTTTTAAAGGGAACATTCGTCCACGATCATTAAAATGATTGATGACCAATGCAGCAAATGTTAATCTGCCCAAGCTCTCGAGTCACTTTCGACACGGCAACATTTTCCTACAGGAATGTTGAAAACCCGAGTGGTAAAACATAACGAGTTCACCTTGTTTCGATCGAATAACACTCGTCTCGGAGCTCTCGGTGTCTGATTTCCGATTGGTCGATTCGATTAATCGACGAAGTAATTTTTCGCGGGGGTGCGACGGTATCTGCTGACGGCGCCGGCTCGTCAGCACGCGTCATTTCATTCGAGTCACGTCAGTGGAGGCGGCGAGGCTCGAGACCGCAACCGGAAACCCCTTCAGATGACGAGGATAAGGCAAACCTCGGGAGAAGTAGGATACACGGATTCGAGGGAACATATAGACACTCTTCACCGAGGCCCGCTGACATCTGCCTTTTCCCCGGATTTCGCTTACTTTTGCAAATCGCGCTGATACATCTCCGATCTCCCGCCGACTATCCCGCCTCGCCCCGGCCAGGCTCGCGCGAAATATTCGCATACATTTCGCGGCCCCGAGAGATTCCTTCGCGTCGGAATTCCGGGTGTCGAGGGTTCGGTGAGTGCTGCGAGAAATATGAATCGCGACGCGCGGTCCGTTCGAGAACCGAATCATCCCTGTCCCACGGATCGCGTCCGCCGTTTATTCGTTCTACCGTGCTCGCCTCGTTTATTATCCGCGAACCTTTTCGAAGGAGCGTGCATCCGGGAATATCATTTGCGGCGTGCATTCAGTCGACGAGTGTCCCAACTATTCGGCTCGACAATAGTGCCTTAATTCGACCCGCTACGTTTTACTATTTCTTTCGAACCAAGGACAGTCGCATCATCTTCCCTTTGGTATAGCTGTGCTGACACGTCATTAAAAAATTCCATCATTTTTCGACAGTTTAAACGACTGAGATTGAGCAATTAAAGTTGATTAAAGCGGATACTTAAACTGCAGATTTTTATGCAAGTTCTCATTTGTGCACGTCGTTTCACGAAAACGATAATTGAAGAAATTTCTTCAATGATAAAATATTATCCATTGTCGAAAGGAAATAAAAGTGCTATTTCGTTAGTTTATACATTCATCTGCATAAATATCTTCAGTTAGTGATTACTAGACAGCGGATTTTTATGCAAAATAGAAATTGTCCGCATTTGTTGCACGAATAAAGAGTCACTTAGGAACTTCCCGTTTTCTTTAACCCTTTGCATTCGAGCGGCTACTCTAAGACAACACTAAAGTAATTATATCACGATGCAAGATAATTTTTGTATTAACTAAGTTTAGAATTTAAAAAATTGCTAAAGGTGTAACTGTAACTACGGATCACCGCAAGGCACAATTTCATATGCATAAAATGCACTTTATCATATGAAATGGAAATACCATAAGTCACAGAAATTATTTATGATTTACAGTTAAAATGGCTTCGAGTGCAAAGGGTTAATAATTATAACAGACTGTAAGTAATGCATCGATGCTGTTCCATCATCTTACTCTTTAACAATGCTTCTCTATAAAATTACGGATACCCACTTTTGCCATAAATGCTTCGAATCCGCGGTCTAACGATCATCAATTCTGCCTGCCGCGAGTTCCAATAAATCCTAAAAACTAATCGTATAACAGTCTCCTAAACTTACGAACAAACGCGGCACAGAACTCGTTAATGCGGCGCACGGTATTCGACCAAGAGAAACACCCAGAAGATCCTCGAATCCAAAAACTTGCGAAGCCTCGAAGCACGCCTGTATTTTATCTTGGCGGGCCGGCGCGGCGCGGTTCCGAGGTTGAGAAACCGCCCTCGAAAATAATGCAGAACGCGGCTCGTTATTCGCCGGATTAATTAAAGAAACGGCGGAACCTTGCCTGGAAGTGGAGTAACCCGGTCGTAAAGCGAACCCGTTATATCTTGCTACGGTTTTCGGAGGACGAAAATACCTGTAGGAAAATCCGATAAACTTCGCCGGACTTCTTGCGGCTGGCGCGAAACGAAGACAAATTATACGGCCGACGAAAGAAAGCCGTTTCCGTGGAAAATAATTGCCGGCGGGTTCGATTGCCGGTGTCCTCGTGAATCGCGGCGAGATCCGCTGGCGATCGTGGATCCGTGTCCCGTGGAATCGTTACCGGTTTCCGAGTGGTGGAAGGCGACACGCGAAGCGCCGGCTGACTGAACTTTATATCAGCGCCACGCCGGGGGAATTTTATTGCCACCTTTCCATGGTTAGACGAATCAGCCGCAGCAGTTTGGCGTTCGATTTGCATTTACCCACGTCAGATCGCGTGCCGCCGAGTTTCTGGCTCCCGCGGCGGGTACTCACTTATTTCACCGGTTCTCTCTCTCTCTCTCTCTTTTTCTCTCTTTCTCTCTCTCTCTCTCTCTCATTTTCTCTCTTTCTCTCTCTTTCTCTCTCCCTATCTCTCTCGCTCTCTGTCCCTCTATCTCTCTCTTTCTCTCTATCTCTCCCCAGCTCCCTCTCCCTCTCTCTCTGCTTCGCTCTGTGCCCTTTCATACCCCCAAGTGTACCCGGCAGTTCAATTTTTTTGTCAGCCAGAGAAGCTGGCTTCTCTCCGGCCCGCAAAGCCCCGGATAACCATCTCTCGTACTTACGCGACCAAATTCCTTCTCGCCCCGCGTGTTCTCCACCGTTGTTCGTTTTTATCCCTCCCCGGGATTCGTGCTCTCCAGCGAGCCGACTCTTTTCTAGCATTGTCGGGCGCGAGTTGCATGTCGGTCGCTCGAACCGGCCGCGCGTCATGATTTAACCACGCGAAATCTGTTCGCCGGTAATTAGATTTTTTGCCGGCCCGGTGGTTCCTTTTACCGGCTCCCTCCAGGCTCCCCCCGCGCACATTGTCATGCGTTCCGTACAGAATCGTACCGGCCGGTTCTTCGCGCAGAAAATCAATAGGGGATCGTGTAATAACGGAGTTACTATTATTAGTGGGTAGCTACGTAAATACGAGCGAGACGAACGGTGCTCTGGCTCGTTCGACGCAGCCGGATGAAATCTTTACGATCCGGAGAACCGTTTCGATAATTACACCTGTCTTCGACCGTCTGTCGAATGATCCTCGATGTCGGAGCTGCGTAGAGCACAGAGTTGGGATTTTGTTCGAACGAAGGGTGCGAGATGAAGAGTGAAGAATGAGAAGTTTGCTTGACATTAATGAATGAATATCCAACCGAACAGAAATGTATGTAGTTGACAGTTTGTCGGATTTTATTCGATGATGATTTAGTCGATGATTTTTTCGAAGATTTTTTTTCGAATGAAAGTTCAATTTATTTGTTACTCGAAGAAGAATCTATCTGCGCAGGAGTTAATTCGGAAAATAGTCGATTCGAACGCTTCATTCGAATAAAAAATGAAGAGTTATTTGAATAAATAGATGGAATAATTAATGATACGAATAAGAAGAGAAGAATTATTCGAACAAATGTGTAGATTAATGTTCTACGAATAAGAAGTGAAGAATTATCCGAACAAATGTATAGAATAATTTGCTACGAATGTAAAAATGACGAATTATCCGAATAAATAAATATAATAATTAATAATTGTTATTCGATTAAAATATTCGGCCAATATCAACCCTTAACGGTCCAATGCCGCCATACACGCGGCAGAAATCAATAAAACCGTAAAATCTGGCAGAAAACATTGGTAGAATAGGCACGATTGTTTCGATGAAAATATATCAACGAAGTTTTATTTAAAAAACGAATATCTCTTCTCTACATCTGATACAAAAATTTTCAGTAAAACATTTCTCTTCGTCTGAAAAACAGTCTGGACTTGGCAGTGTGTAAACTGGAAATAGTTTTGGTTCCCTAAGGGTTAACATATGTTCGACTAATATTAATATACACTAACAAACAAATTGAAATAATGCCCAGCTAATAAGACGTTCTACGATACTCGAGAAAAGAGAGTGTAGGAACTTTCACTCGGAAGAACGGGCAGGATCTTCCCGAAGAACGATCCCCGGGCAGCAAATAGTAGAGCACTCGAGAAGCAGTTAACCGGATTTATCGTGGCCCGATAAGCCGAATAAATGTAAGCCGTACCGCGAATAAAATTCCGTTGGATCTTCGTCTTCGCGGGGAATAATCGTCCGAAGGAAGAAGGGGGATCGGTTGGGGGGGGGGGGGGA